ATGATTCTTTGTTGAACAAAACCCGCAAGCAAACATACTCCACGATTCAAACTGTGATCGAGAATTAAAACGTCTTTGAAAGCCGTTCAATCAGGCATCCGGCAAAAGTCAAACGGGAATATTTTGAAAGGGAGTTTTGGAATGTGGACAGGAAGCGCCAAAAGTTGTGCTTCAGAGGATGTGTCCACAAGCTGCCGTCACAGTATACCGAGATTGTCGGCGACAAGACATGGAACACCCTGTCAGAAGCGACACTCGAACGAGCATCAGCTGCGTGGTCATGGCTAATTCACTACAATGATGCAAGACTGGCATCTCAGCATGTTCCCTTGCGTGCTGGGAAGTTTAGCAGCCTTGCAGCCCCTTTGAAGATCTTGAACCATGTCTTGGATTTGACATGCTATCTCTCTCTTGGGGCAAAAACCTGGGCTGCTCTCATGTGGCCATTGGTCCAGCATGAGGACCAGTCGACAGGAGAGATATATTTTGTTTTGAAGGCAGAGTGCCCGGATGGTTCCAGCGTCAAGGCCTGCTGGATTCATTTGTATGGGCCCCAGTATTGGGAAGTCATCGAAACAGAGGCAGTCTTCTGGAATGGCTTCATTTGCCTCCGTCGTTGTGCTACAAGCTCAGTGTCACTTCTATCCTATATGTTGCAGCATCCCAAGTGACATGTTTTCATTTAGGATTCTGTCAACTGTCGACCCATACAGAAAATAGTACAATAAACTTATATAAGTTTTGCTGTGCTTGTTTTTGCTGACTCGACTGAGGGAAATGTCACAAGCATGTCGGACTCTCGCAGACTGCCAGAATCTCGCCGAGCATGTGATCTCCCAGACTGGAAACGTAGACGAAAAAAAGCGAAAGGAGCTGCAACGAATGCGCCGTCCAAAGATCATGAGCCTGATCGCTTCTCATCACCTTCCGGAAGATGAGGATTTCATGCGCAAAATTGAGGCTATGTATTCGACAGCCAAAGATTCAACAGAGGATGAGGATGAGGATGACATTATCATGGGGGACTTTGTTGATGAGCTGGTTCTTGACGACCTGCTTGCTGAGGACAAACAGGAATTTAAAATGGTCTCAGACGCAGTCAGAAAAAGCAGAATCAAAAGGGTGCATCAAACCTGGCAGGCCATCAAGACGCAGCAAGCAAAGGCCAAGGCAAAGGGCAAGGCCAAAGCAAAGACCAAAGCAAAGGCCAAGCCACAGGCCAAACGGAAAGCCAAGAGAAAGATTTGTCGCCCACGTATGTTGACCAGGAAGCAACCCGCGCCTCCTGATGAAAGTGGTCAAGAGGGAGCAGAAGGCAGAGTGCCAGCACCTCCTGCTGAGGTGCCGGTGGAGCCGGAGCCTGATAATCACGTGGAGGCCGCGGAAGGCAGAGTGCCAGCCCCTCCTGCTGAGATGCCGGAGGTGCCTTCTGCAATCCCTGTCCCAGAGCCTGATGATCACGTGGAGCCCGAGGAAGGCAGAGTGCCAGCCCCTCCTGCTGAGATGCCGGAGGTGCCTGCTGCAATCCCTGTCCCAGAGCCTGATGATCACGTGGAGCCCGAGGAAGGCAGAGTGCCAGCCCCTCCTGCTGAGATGCCGGAGGTGCCTGCAGTGCCTATCCAAGCACTCGAGCCACGGGAGGTTGCAGTCCGTGGCCCCCAACATCAGCGGCGGCCGAACCGTGTTGACTACCAAGGGGTATGGACACCTGTTCAATGCCCGGAGTGTCCCAAGATCGCTGGTGAGATGAAGTACGACCCGAATCCTGGTGGCACTGACAAAGCAAAATGGTTTCTCCTAGTTCGTGTGACAGACGGCGGTCTCTTGGAAAGATTCGGAACATTTGTTATAGCTTCGATGTGGTTGCCTGATCTGCTGTGTGTTGTGTCACATTACATGAACCCATGTGTGTCTGGCATTGAAGGCGAGTGGAGCCACCTCGTACCCTATCACTGGGGACGTGTGGCTTCCAAGATGACAGAAGCGCAGGCCAGACAACACGTCATTGACCATAGGCCCTGTTGTGGCCCGACCAGTAGGCCTGGCAACAACTAGAGGATTCATCCTGCGCTGCAAAGAAAAGTTGTGTGTCTGTCTGTGTGCTTGCATTGATGGCAGCGGGTCCTGCTAGATTGGAATGCGTCCGAGAGACTGTGTGTTTCTGCTTGGGGAAGACGGATTGCGAAAGCATGTTCGCATTTTCCCACATGTGGAATTTGTCACGTGCAAGCACATGGACAATCATTTCGAGTGCCACAACCCGGAAGCCGCACAAACTAGCACATGTGGTTTGAAGCCGTGCGTGCTTGTGACTGAACAGTAGCCGTCCAGAGCAATGCATTTCGCCCCGATCGAACGAGGAGAGTGTTTCTTCAGAGGCGAGCTCTCCCCAATCTTGATCAAAACCGCTTGAGAAAAATTGGCCAAAGCGCCTGTCCAGTGGAGACCAGCTGAGAGATGGAAGGAAGTTTATGACGACGTGCCTTGGGAAATCATGGTTCGCTACCTGCGTTACTGGCCACTTATTGGCTCCCGCATTACAGCAGGCCTCAGGCTTCTTCTACAGCACGAAGGCCCCTTCCCGAAGTGTTATCAGGTGGGTGAAGGAGAAGAACCGCTGGAGTTGCCGCGCGTTTCTCTCGTTTGTGATTTTGTTTATGTTTGGAACTACGAAGATGAACAACAACGGCAGTTTGTCCTTCAGATGAAACCCCTCTCACTTGTTGCCATCCGTCTCGGTGGTCCGGGGGAACTTCCTGACCTTGATGCTGGAGCAATACCTTTGACCGACCATCTTCGTGCAAAGTTGGGGATGAATTCCAAATGGCAATAATTAATGGATCTTGAGGCGGGAAGGCAGAGTGCCAGCAGCTGGGAAGGCAGAGTGCCAGACGTTGTCGCGTCACCCAGCTGGACCCTGCTTCGCCTGCACGTGATTCGCTTGACAGTGTGGTCAACGCAGAAAAGCGCAACATCCAGCAGTTCGTAGCCACTTCACGTGATTTGTGCATCCCTAATACTATCAAACCCTAAAACTATGGCACTCTGCCTTCTAGCCCCAAACCCTAAATACTAAAGACCCTGAAACTCTAACCCTACCCCTTTCATTACCCTCAAACCCTAACACTATGGCACTCTGCCTCCTAACCCCAAACCCTAAATATACTAAAGACCCTGAAACTCTAACCCTAACCCTTTCATTACCCTCAAACCCCTAATACTATGGCACTCTGCCTCCTAACCCCAAACCCTAAATATACTAAAGACCCTGAAACTCTAACCCTAACCCTTTCATTACCCTCAAACCCCTAATACTATGGCACTCTGCCTTCTAACCCCAAACCCTAAATACTAAAGACCCTGAAACTCTAACCCTAACCCTTCATTACCCTCAAACCCTAACACTATGGCACTCTGCCTTCTAACCCCAAACCCTAAATATAATAAAGACCCTGAAACTCTAACCCTAACCCTTTCATTACCCTCAAACCCCTAATACTATGGCACTCTGCCTTCTAACCCCAAACCCTAAATATACTAAAGACCCTGAAACTCTAACCCTAACCCTTTCAGTACCCTCAAACCCCTAATACTATGGCACTCTGCCTTCTAACCCCAAACCCTAAATATAATAAAGACCCTGAAACTCTAACCCTAACCCTTTCATTACCCTCAAACCCCTAATACTATGGCACTCTGCCTTCTAACCCCAAACCCTAAATATAATAAAGACCCTGAAACTCTAACCCTAACCCTTTCATTACCCTCAAATCCCTAATACTATGGCACTCTGCCTTCTAACCCCAAACCCTAAATATAATAAAGACCCTGAAACTCTAACCCTAACCCTTTCATTACCCTCAAACCCCTAATACTATGGCACTCTGCCTTCTAACCCCAAACCCTAAATATAATAAAGACCCTGAACCTCTAACCCTAACCCTTTCATTACCCTCAAACCCCTAATACTATGGCACTCTGCCTTCTAACCCCAAACCCTAAAGACCCTGAAACTGTAAACCCTGTGCCAGGTCTTCTTCATCCTCGTCTTCTCGGAAAAAACATTAAAAAATGTAGTTTTTTTGGTGTGTTTTAAAGTTTTTAAAAAATTTTAAAAGTTGTTTAAAGTCTTTAAAAGTCTTTCAAATTCTTTTTAAAGTTTGTAAAAGCTTTTAAAAGCGTTTAAAAGTCTTTTAAAGTCTTTTTAAAGCTTTTAAATGTATTTTAATGTTTTTAAAAGTCTTTTAAATATTTCAAAAGCCTTTTAAAGTTTTGAAAAGTCTTTTAAAGTTTGCAAAAGTCTTCTAAAAGTTTCTAAAAGTCTTTTAAAGTCTTCTAAAAGTTTTTAGAATGTTTTTTCTTGCATTTGAAAGTTTTTAAAAGTCTGTAAACGTCTTTAGAAGCCAACTCTGTCGAAAAAGCCCTGTGGATCTAAACCTTGTGGTTCTGGTTCGGTGCAAAAGGGCAATGAACAAAACATCAAAACCACTGCGCCGGCTCAGGGCTTATATGCACATGGTTAGAAGTCCAGGTCAGTTAAGACATGGGAACAATGCCATATAATGCCGGGGCCCATGGTTTGTAACGTGTGTTGCTGTCGCAGGAAGCTGTTTCAACTCTGCAGATCCGCGATAGACTGCAAGTACGCCGCCCCCAACGAGGCGTTTAAAATCCTGAACCATCTTGAACCCTATATACAAATCCCTCAACCGCAAACCCATAACTATATTCCCATGTAAGATCCCGTATAGTAGATAGATTGCACCCAACCAGGCCTTTGAAACTCTGAACCATCTTGAAAGCCCTCAACCGCAAACCTTTAAGATGTTTATATATAATTCTATAATAGGTTGTAGGTGCACCGACCCCAGCGAGGCCTTTGTAATGCGCAAACCCTTATATAAGATCTCCCCTCCCTAAACCCTAAACCCTGAGCCCTCAAACCCTAAATCCCTAAACCTTGAATTGATCTCAACCCCAAACCCTGCAGCCGAGGTGAGATGTCCAGAGCTGCAGAATCCCTCGCCGATCCAGAGATCAAAGCAGAGTGGGAGAAGGAGACGGCATCCACCTTGAAGCAGCTAGGCTTTCCGACTACTGAGGGCCCTACGAATGCGGTGCACCTGTTGCCAAAAGCGTCTACATGCCTCACCCGCCGTTTGGCGGCTTTGGGCGAGTTTCTCATGGAGCTGGAAAAGGCTCAGAAGGCGGAGGGTGAAACGAAATCCAAAAACGCAGCGCCGGGAGCTCCGGAATCAATCCTGTCGAAGACTTTTGGATGCCATAACCTATTTCATTCTGCTTGTGTCTCTTGTGTGTATACGCTGCTAGCTATACAATAACTTCAGGACACTGACCAAGATGCGGGCAGTCTACAGTACCATGGATTCTTGTGGCGATGTTTTGGGTGCCCTCCAAACGGAAGGCCTCATGACAGGCTTTTATGAGATGCTTCTTTGCATGTTCAGAACACTTTGCAGTCCCTCAAACCCGAGCCCAAATGTAACTTACATATGGAAGCTGCAAGCCAAGGATCGAAGGCAAGGTCAAGGTTGAAATGGAGACCGCACGGCGAGTGTACCTTACTTGCAAATCACAGCATCAGCCCGAATTTGGTGCAACCAAATATCATATGTCCAAAACGTATACAGTCCTGCATGCAGGAAGCCCCGAAGTAAAACACATCCATCTCCCAAACACAATAAGGAGTTTCTGAGAACAGTGTACCCTAAATTTAGTATAGGATCCTTGTATAGACATGAAGGTACCCACAGTTTTCGGAAACTCCCATATAGCCCTGAGACCCCGAAGTTAAAGCGCAACCATGTCCAAAGCAAATGCTTAAAAGCCCTCAACCCCCGAAGTTAAAGCCTAACACCGCAGCCGAGGCTGATCGAATCCTGGGATGTCGAGAATCGTGCAAGGAGTGCCTGACACCCGTGCTCCTATAATAATATGGGTTCGATACTTATAGAGAAACATATAGATCTATTAGAAGATTATTAGAACTATGCCCAAATTTCTGATAAGGGCCTTGTTCAGTGAGTGCCATATAAAGCCCTATAGGGTTTATAGGGCACTTGGGTTTTAAGTTTTCTGGGAGGGTTTCCGGGCTTTGGGGTTTTAGGTATATCGGGTGTGTCTCGAGAATTTGGGGTTTAAGAATCGGTCCCAAGGATATGAGTGTTGATTGACCCTATATATATACACACACACGCATATATATATATATAGAGTGGAAAACAGCATATGTGGGTTATAGGGGTTTAGGGAACCCTGTAAAAATCAACCTAAAACCCACACCCAAACATGAATCGTTCAGTTTGGCTGCTAAAAGCGAACTTCATTTTAGGGTTTTTATAATGGGTGGTAGCCCAGCCTGCATGGTTCACTTTGGCACGATACTCTATATAGGGATGAAAAAGCATTTATCAACGGGTTTACGGGTGTAGGCAAATTCTGTACAGGAAACACAGCAAAGCCTAACCCCAGAGCCCAAATCTGAATGGTTCAGCGTGGCTGCTTTGTAAAGAAATCAAACTATTCGGGGGTTTATATAGTGGACCGTATATAAACCTGACCCCACAGCCCGAGCTTCTGGTATACATGGGAACAGAGGTAATTGGGGGTTGAGGTGTGGGGACAAATCTACACAGCCCGAGCTTGAATGGCTCAGTTTGGCTGCTTGCCTCGCTAAGCCACTTTCGCCAAGACTTATGAAGTCCAAAGCCCTATAAACTTTAAGCCTTATATGAAGCGAACACCCGAAAAGCACCAACCCCAAACCCCGAAAGACCGACCAGGCATGGCTCCCTATACACTTATGAAGTCCAAAGCCCTAAACGTTAAACCTTATCTCAAGCGAACACCCTAAAAGTACCAATCCCACACCCCGAAACTCTGACCAGGCATGGCTTCAATCAACAAAAGACCAACCCGAAGCATCAGAACCCTATATAGAGCATAAATCCTATTTTAGCCCAATTAAAAACCCATGTAGGGTATATGAACCCTAAGCCCCAAAACCCAAAGGCTTAGGGTTTCGATGTGCGTCCAGGACCCTGCTCGGGAAGGGTACGAAGGCGCCCAAAGCAAAGGCAGAGACGAAGCGCAGGGCCGTCTCGAAGCCTGTGCCGAGCGCGAAGAAATCCAGGAAGTGACGTGCTGCATGCAAGTACAGAGATGTATGCATTTTACGAGATGTGTTTCATCAAGCTGCTTGACCAGCTGTTTTGACGAAGCAAGCGCATGGTTTGACCGGTGAACAAATTCAACGACTCTAGTTGCACAGCTCGAGCCTGCACCGCTGGTCCTTTCTTCGTCTATATATGTATATATACATGTATGCCAGGCGAGCCAGACATTGCTGGACACTGTGCTTTGGAAGCGCTTGCACAAGCTCTGGCTGATGGGGCTGCTTGGCCTGATTCTTGGTGGATGAAGCCTTAGACCCTCTATCGATTAGATGACAACTTTGTATTAACAGCAAAATCGATATGTGGACAATAGTTGACCCGATAGAGTGGCTCATCGTCATATACTGGCTGTGCAACCATCGTACACAGGGTCTCAGATAGAGTTAAAGGTAGTCGGGGTTTAGCTTCTAATAGGGTATATTTATAAAGCCTATATAGAACTCAGGCCATATATTTGAGATATCTGAGTTACAGTGTAAAGGGCCTATATATATATATATAAATATATATATATATATATATATATATATTTATATGTATAGGATTGTCGGGTAGTTTAAAGGACGAGCCCTGAATCCCTCACTAGACAGCTGTTGTACTTTTATAAGGGTTTGTGATCCATGTACTCAACTCGGCTTATGGTCGAAAGCCTTTGCAAACCCCCAGCGCCAGAGAACCCCAAATGTTTCACCTAAACCCTACAATGATTCTTAAACTAATGGTGCCCAAGCCCCGGGCCCAGATTAACTAACGCACCAAGTATAGTTTTGACCAAGCAGGTGCCCAAACCACTGCCGCACAAATTTCTTAGATTTCAGCCTGAAGGTGCCCAAAGTAGGCCAGAAGCTTCGATCGAGGGATACCAGGATCCGTCTAAAACCCATAAAACCCCACTAGCTTAAGGTCTATTACCCGAAATCACAACACACTGTATATAGACGTATCTAAAGGCTGTGACAAAACCCTATACATAGCCACACCCCATCCATGCCCAGGCTCCTGCGTGTGATGTCGGCCGGATGGCCAGAGCGTTCCAGCCAAGCTGCAAAGGGCAGTCCTCGGTAATGCAAGCAGCAAGAGTACATGAGACTCACGGGGAAAGGGACAGCCAACGCCTGTTTAGGAGGCACGGACTCAGACTAAACATCCCTACCTCAACGATGCGTGTGGATGCTGAGGACGGAGATTCAAGCCCTGTAGATATCCCTTTCCTCAAACTGACTGACTTCTTCCGAGTACTCTTGAACCAGCATGCTCGACTTCTGTTCGGTGGCCTGCCCAAAGGGCAAGAAGCAGAAACCCTGTGTGACACGTTCTGGCAGCGATTTCAGTACTACCACCCTGATCATATGGTGTATGAGCAGTACTCGCGGGAGGACCGCCGAAGAATACTACCAATTTGCTTTCATGGGGATAAGGGCCGCGGCTACCAGAAGTCACCTGTGTTTGTCTTTGATTGGGAGACCGTTTTTGCTCTTCCAGAAAAGTTTCGGCGAGCTGGATCCAAGTCAAAACGTGAGGTCGTTGATCAAAAAAAGAAAGTCTATGCCGGCCGACTGACTTGGACGTGCTCCCAAAGGGCGGCTGATTGCGGAAAGCACTGCCCAGAGCCTGCAGTCCCCGAAGGGCACTGCACTGTTGGCTCTGCTGAGACTCCTTTGCTTGAAGCGATGGGGCACAACGGCAAGGGAAACTCTTTGTTTTCTCGGTACTTGGTGGCAGTTATACCAAAGAAGGTGTTGTCGCAGAATGATGCCATTGTGCCCACTCTGCTTGCGGAAGTGGCTCAAAACCTGCAGTCTTTGTTTCTTGACGGCATCAAAGATCGAGATGGGATCACCTATAGAGCAGCCTTCATTGGATGCAAAGGAGACTTCGAGTTTCTTCACCTGGATGCTGGGTACTTTGACCGAACGTATCTCAACGAAGGCCGGGTTAACAACCTCCTGATGTGCCCAGAATGCTGGGCCGGTCATAAAGACTTCCCAGCAACAGATATGTCAGATCGGCCGAAATGGGTTGATTCCATGTACAAAGATGATCCATGGAGTTCAGAGCCTCCTTTGAACCTGGCCCCTTATGCAAGAAGTCGAAAAGCAAGCCTGTACAAACGAGACTGTTTCCACATGATCAAATATGGTTTCGCCCGAGACCTTTGCGGCAGCATCCTGTTCTTGCTGAGCTGGCTGGGGTGTTTCGACTTCGATCAGGCGGAGTCCAAGTCGATCGACAGTCGCTTGGACAGGGCGCATGGGTCCCTGGGTTTTTCAGCATGTGGTGCCTAGCCGAAGGCAAGTGTTCCACAATCAAGCGATTCACGCCTAGCGGTCTACATCGTAAGAAGCCTCGGCAATCGCCGTGGACCGGTGGCAAGGGCTCGGATACAGTGTTGATCATGATGTTTTTGGATTTCTTGCTGCTTCAGCGTCAACAGTCATTGTGCCACCCAAGCCATCAAGTTTTGCTTCAGGCCATGCACCAGACAGTTCGTGGCTGCCTTGACTTTTTGGGTGCGATGCACTCGCACCCACTTTTCCTCAGCCAGTCTTGCGCCCGCTTCATGCATCGTGCTGGCCACAAATTTCTGAGAGGCTACCATTGGCTAGCTGATTACGCCATAAATCATGGGTATCGCTTGTTTAGTATGCGACCGAAATGTCATTATTTCCACCACACTTTGTGGGAGCTGGGCCTGCAAGCCGAAGACCACCCTTTTGCGCTCAACCATGCAATCTTCAACTGTGAATCGAACGAGGATTTCGTAGGCAGGTTGTCCCGGTTGTCCCGACGGGTGAGTCCGAAAGTATGTGGCCAACGGGTGATCGACAGGTACTTAGTATCTGTACAGCTCCTTTTTCGACGAGCTGGGGTGTAGCTTCATGCTTGCATCTTGAAATCTCAGAAACACAAACTTGTAACATCATTGCTGTATATGTAAGTTCATCGACAAGGCCCGATCCGGTAAAATAGCTGATACAGGCATGTGAGCTAGCTTCCCATGCAAGGATGTCGTGGTAGCTTCGGCTTTTGGCAGACCCTCGACCTATCTTATATACCGTAATCGATGAGAACCTTAAGCCCCGAACCCTGAACCCTAAACAAGCTTGTGTTTCAGGTTGGGACTTTCTGAATTACGATTGGGTCCCCTCAATTTAATGCTTCCCCAAAATGAGAAAATTTACTTCACTGCCAAGCTGAAACCCTGCATCCCTCGCTTTACAGGGCAAGTGCGGTCGAGGAGCGAAGCTTTGCGGCAGCAGTGGTGCCACTGTTGCAAGCCGCATGGGAGATCGCTGCAAGGGTGCAAGTATAGTCAGTTCAGGATTTCGGATTGAGAGGGCTTGCGGTTCGGCGTTTAGGGTTGCATGTATAAATATAGAACTATAGAACTTAAACTTTTTTAATTGAGGAACCCTAATTTGAGGCCCACGGGACTTAATAACTCGCTTATGTAAGCAGTGTTATAATTGGGGGGGTAACTCCCTTACTTAGGGTACTTCTATACGATATAAGACTCATGTACATATATAACCTACTTACTAAGTCCTTAATTTGGCAACTAAGCAATCCTGAATTGTTGATGTAGCTTGAAAGAGGCACCTCTGAATTCCTCCTCGAAAGAAGATCTGACGACGATGATGCTGTATGCAAAATGGAGAGCTTGGATCGAGTGTATAGGTGTTTCTTCAGGGTTTTGGCTTTCAAGCTGCTTGATGGCGGCGGATGCCCCTGCCGAGG